TTTCATTTTAATAAACATTATGTTTTGAGCACTTTTAATTTTCCAGCAAAACTGAGCAAGAAAGTACAGAGAGTTTCCATATACACGCAGTCTGCACACACATACAATCTCCCCCACTGTCTACAGCCCCCACCAGGCTCATACACTTGCTAAATCACTGAACCCACATTGATACATCATTATTACCCAAAGTCCACGGTTTAAGGTTTATTCTTGACATTGTACATTCCATAGTTTTTGACAAATGGATAATGACATATATTCACCATTGTAGTATCATGCAAAACACTTTCACTGTCCTAAAAACCCTCTCTGCTCCTCCTATTCATCCCTTCCTCCCTTGCCACTAACCCTGATCATTTTACTGATCAGTAATACCCAGTGATCTGTTTAGTGTTTCCATAGTTATGCATTTTCCAAAATGTCATATAGTTGGAAATATACACTATGTAGCCTTTTCAAACTGGCTTCTTTGACTTAATATCCCTTTAAATTTCCTCCACATCGTTATAGTTTGACGGTTCATTTCTTTTCAGTGCTGAATAACATTTCATTATCTGGATGTACCACAGTTTATTTATCCAGTTCATTTATCACAGTTTATTTACTGAAGGACATCTTGGTTGCTTTAACATTTTGGTAATTATGAGTAAAGCAGCTGTAAACATACATACTCAGGGTATTTTGGTGGACATAAGTTTTCAGCTCCTTGGGGTAAATACCAAGGAGCATGATTGTTGAATTGTATGGTTAAGAGTGTGTTTAGTTTTGTAAGAAACTGCGGCTGTACCATTTTCCATTTCCATCAGCGATGAATGAGAGATCCCATTGCTCAGCATCCTCATCAGTCATTGGTGTAGTCACTGTTCCAGATTTTGGCCATTTTAATAGGTGTTCAGGGGTATTTCATTGCAGTTTTAATTTGCAATTCCCTAATAATACATGTAAAGATAGACGTGGAGTATCTTTTCACATGCTTTAATTACCATCTGTGTATGTTCTTTGGTAAGGTGTCTCTTCAGATTGTTTGCCCCTTTTTTTCTGTTTGAGATGAAGTCTCCCTCTTGTTGCCCAAGCTGGAGTGCAGTAGCACCGTCTCGGCTCACTGCAGCCTCCACCTCCTGGGCTCAAGCCATTCTTGTGCCTCATTCTCCCGAATAGCTGGGATGACAGGCTCCCACCACCACACCTGACTAATTTTTGTATTTTTAGTAGAGACAGGGTTTCACCGTGTTGGCCAGGCTGGTCTCAAACTCCTGACCTCAGGTGATCCACCCACCTTGGCCTCCCAAAGTGCTAGGATTCCAGGCGTGAGCCACCAGCCAGCCTTGTTTGCTCATTTTTTAAAAAATGTGGTTATTGCAACTAAGGAACTGAATTTTTTGTTTTATTTTTGATTTGTATTTATTTATTTGTTTGTTAATTTTTAGGGACTCCTGTGTTCAAAGTGATCTTCCTGCTTCAGCTTCCCAAGTAGCTGGGACTATAGCACGCACCACTATACCCTGATAAGAAAAATAATTTTTTAAAATAAAGACGGGGTCTTGCTATGTTGCCCAGGCTGGAGTGCAGCAGCTACTCATAGGTACTATCATAATGCATTGCAACCTTGAACTCCCGGACCCAAGCAATCCTCCCGCCTCTGCTTCCTGAGTAGCTTGGACTATAGGCTTGTGCCACTGCACTTGGCTTGGTGGCTGATTTTTTTAATGAGGTGGTGTGTTTACTTACTGTTGAGTATAAAGCGTTCTTTGGATTAAAGTCTTCCATCAGATAATGGCTTTTGCAAATATTTTCTGCCGGTCTGTGGCTTGTCTTCCCATTCTTTTGATTTCACTATTTTTTTGGGTATGTGTTTCTCATTTTTTCCTTCTTTGTTCTGCCTTTCTTTTTTGAGATGGAGTGTCGATTTTGTTTCCTAGGCTGGAGTACAACGGCGAGATCTTGGCTCACTGCAAACTCAACCTCCAAGATTCAAGCCATTCTCCTACCTCAGCTTCCTGAGTAGCTGGGATTACAAACATGTGCCACCACGCCCAGCTAATGTTTTGTATTTTTAGTAGAGACACAGTTTCTCCATGTTGGTCAGGCTGTTCTCAAGCTCCCGACCTAAGGTGATTCACCCACCTTGGCCTCCCAAAGAGCTGGAATTACAGGTGTGAGCCACCATGCCCGGCTTCTCCCTTTCTTTCATCAGTGTAGAACATATCCAGTCTTTTCACAAAACAAAACAAAAATCCCAAGTGCCACAGTCAGTCAAATCAAAAGAGAGCTGCATTTGTTATTTGGATAATTTCCAAAGGTTCTTGGGATATTATAGAGGCCGAGATTTGAGAAAGAAAAAAAAAAAATGCATCTGCTAGTTCAAGGAAAATAATGATAAATTATTTTTAAATTATATTAAAATAATCTATATGAAATAAATGAAAATAATTGAAGAGCATATAGAATATTGAGGTAGGAGGTCGGTAAGAAATATAAGTGGTGCTTAAGTCTCTGAAGAGGCAAGTCAAAGCCTTTACCTCTGGCCTAGAAGAAACACTTCTTTAATGAAAGTTCAGACAAAGCCTCAGGATGCCCAGCTAAACTCACACATTGGGTTAAGAGAAAAGGCAACAAGGGCACATTTCAAAGGGCATATTCAGTGATGTTGTTTTACCAAGGACCCTATATTTGCAAAAAAAAAAAAAAAAAAGAAGTGTTTTCGAATCATTCTGTAAAACCATAAGAAATTTCTCTGAAGAAGGAATTATTTCCTTAAGAAAGAAAAGACAGAATAGGGATGTAAAGAACTCAAAAAGAAAAAAAAAATCCATGTCGAAGCACATCACACAAATCTATTAATAAAAGATTTTAGAATTCAGTTCCCCACTTCCATTTTTTTCTGCCTCCTTTGGTAAGTATAAAAATGAACTTGGTTCCTGGTGATATGCAGAGCTGGGTCAGATTTATCTTGCTCTCTCAAAGTGAACATGAATGAAGAAAACAAAGGTCTTCTAAGACTCCCTTTACATTTGGTAGTTAATGGTAACTTATGACTGTTTTTAACTTTCTTTTGTTGAGTCATGGACTCTCCTCCTCCCCCACTTCTAAGTTTTCAGGGTCAACAGGCAACCTTTTCTAAATCACAAGACTGGATTTGCTATGCTTGGTCTTGCTCCAGCGTCTTTATTATCCCTGCTGTTGTGCACTACACAGTTCTGTAGACACATGAGATAAAATGGAGAAACAAAACCAGGAGATTAGTCCCAGACCTGTTGCCAACCGATTTGAAACTGTTGCTCACTGCAAGTACACAACATAATGAATGGTCTTTTATTCATGAGTCTTTTAAAATAGAAATCCTGGGGCAGGGGAGGATTTCTAGTTCTGTCAACCTCATTTGTTCATCCTTTGCCTCATCTTCCTAGTCTGTTCCGTAGTGTTGTTCAAGAAGAATTTTGTTTTCTTTTCTTCTGTAACTCCTTTTATCCTCGGAGTATAATGACAGCCAGATTCTTCTCTATCATCTACTGCAAAATGCCTTGAGTATTTTTCTACCATCTTATCTTAACATAGAAAGAAGTAGGAAGGATATACGTATAATCATTTATCATCCTCCAGATCTTGCTTCCAGAAATACTTAGTTTTCAATTGTAATGTCTCAGGAAACCTATTGATGTAGGGAGCTGGGGGGCAGTCGTTAACTTTGAGGAATTAAATAACATTTTTACCATGAAATGTGAATCCACAGAGTCAACCTCACAGAGCTGATGCCTGGACAAGGGAGACCAAGTAGTTTAAACAAGTTGCTGCGAGCATGGTTAGCTACTATAAAACTCACCAGAACTGGAACCCAACTCACCCTCCTCTCAGTTGAACACATTTCATTTTGACAGGAATTTCTGAATACACAAAGCAGACTCAAAGTCTCCTCTCTCAGCCCAGGATGTTTCTGAAATACATGAACAGAAAGATTCGGAGACCTTGTGCTGTTTCCCAGGGATTTATGATCTGACAGTCTATGGAGATACCCAACTCTCTCCTTGAGCAGAGCCAAATCCCCAAGGATCTCAGACTCAACCCACTTTTTTCAGGGTTGGCCCAGGGCAGAGCTGACACAGCTGTAACATTCTAGAGCACACCCACAACTCTGGATGAACCAGGACAGAATGGGGTGGAAGAAGGATACGAGATCACCCATTTTTCCAAGGGGGCCGTCTGTTGACACATTATAAACGCAGTAACGGCGGGAGTCAGTATCCTCCCTCACTTTAGTTGTAAATGAAACGTCTTCAAAGCATAAGAATTTTGCTTTATCCTTAATTATCTTTTCGTTTTGCAGAAAAATAAAGGGACTCGTCATCGAGTACTTTACCTGGAGTTACAAATCAGCCAAGTGTGCATTTGTTTTTTTTCCAAGTCTGCACAAGAGTGGAACATTTTGTTTTACGAGTGTGAAATATTCGAAATAAATACAAATCTGCCAAGAGGCTTCTTCCACATTGGCCTGGGACTAGGCGGAACAGGCGCTGACCTCCTGAGGGAGGAAAGGAAGACCAGACAAGTCTGAGCCAGGTAAACACCGTTGGGTGAGGTCGGTAAAAGATAAAGTCAGATCTCAAGGACAGAGAGCTTTAAACATTTCTGTGCTCCACTGAGTCGTTTCCCTAACAAGTGAGAAAATGAAGATGTGGATGTACAAAAATTCCACGGCCTTTAGGCTCGCGGTGGGGGCAGCGGGCAGAGAAGAGGCGGTCGGCTGCCAAAGGTTAGTCTCTTGTACCGGCGAACTCAGTCAAGTTCACTCGATTTTTGCTACAAACCTGCAACACTGGGGTGGGAGGTAAACTGGTTGGGGGCGAATTCAGAACTGGAAATTCCAGGCGGCCCAGAGGGATGACCCTCTCTATCGTTGGCGCGACGGGAGCCCGCGGCCCAGCCCGGGGGCGAGGGCAGCGTCCCGCGCAGCGCCCCGCCCCCGTCCTCCGGCCCCGCCCCCGTCCTCCGGCCCCGCCCCCCAGGGGCTGCGCGAGCCGTCTCCGCCCTCGCGCGGGAGCTGGGCGGCTGCGAGAGCCTTGCTGCAGTAGCTTCCTCTGCCGCCTCGGAGCCGCTCGATCCTTAGCCGCCCGGATCCCGGCCGTAGAGGCTGCAGTTGCAGCCGGGAGCCCGCAGTCCGCGCCCCGAGCCCGCCTCCGTCCTCCGAGGGCGCCCCAGGCCGCGCCATGGTGAAGGTGACGTTCAACTCCGCTCTGGCCCAGAAGGAGGCCAAGAAGGACGATCCCAAGAGCGGCGAGGAGGCGCTCATCATTCCCCCCGACGCCGTCGCGGTGGACTGCAAGGTCCGAGCCCGGGGAGGTCGGGGAAGAGGGGTGCTGGGCCCGGCCGGGGAGGGCTGCGCGGGCGGCAGCGGTCGTGCGCCCCGAGGTGGCGGGCAGGGGGCCGGCGCAGCGGGGACAGGTCCCCGAGAGAGCCCGGCGCTCCCCTTTCTTTCCTGTGGGGCTGCGGCTCCTTCTTTGTAAGGAACTGCGTGTGCTGGAAGCGGTGTCTGACGCGGAGTCGGGGGCTTGGGAGGCCAGGAGAGGGGACGACTGACGAATTGTGCCGAGGTCCCGGTCGTTTTTGCAGTCCGGGGAGTGTGTGTGCGGCCAGGACTTGATTCGTTCGCCCGGCAGCGACCGGCACAACCACAACAACAACAACCGAGTTTGGCACTTCCTTCCCAGTATAAATAATGTACCTAAAATGGCTGACATCATTACAAGCCTAAACCTCTGTTGTTTCCTACTTTCGTTTCTAAGCTGAACAGCACTTGGACTAACTCCAGCAACTGTAAGCGTCTTAATTTTAAAAGCGTTTCCTTCTTTACCTTCTTTTTCCACTGCCCTTCGGTAGTGACAGGTGAACTTCACCTGGACAAAGTGACAGTCCGCCCGAAGTAGGTTTGGGCTGTCTCTTATAATTAAAACAAATATCCCTGGTAAAGGCCAGTAATGACTATGTGGATGTTAGTGAAAAACCAATAGATGGAATTTAAATTATATCAGCGTCTTTGTGAAGACTCCTGCCGAGTGAAACTAAACATAAGAAATTTGCCCCTAGGTTCCTAATAAAATTCTCCTTCATTTTACAAAATCTCCTTTTAATCCTAGGAAAATTCAAGAAGTGAGACTGTTATTGTGTTGACTTCTAGTAGGTTACGATGATATTTACTTAAATATGAGTGTAATTGTCTCATAAGTTAAAAAAGAAAGCTCACAGCCTCTTACCCAGATCCTCTTTAGGCTGCAAAAATTAGAAATTAACTGTAAAGTTATGTTGCTTAGCTTATTTTTTTGTTGTTAGCATTTTTAAAAAACCTGTTATCAGTTGCGTAAATTTAGTTTTAACTTAAAAAAAAATTAGTGTGCCAAGTATGAGTAATAGGAATTTTTAAATGAGCGAATGAAAATTATTACTGAAAAATAGGCCACTAATATGCTGTAAAAAATTCAGAATATAAATGTAATCTAGACATCATTATATTATATCGTTATATGCTGAGTATAATCTACCTTCAGAATATAATGGTAATCTTACTTTCTGGAAATGTTTTGGTAAAATCCGACAACGTCAGGGGTTGATTTCTAAATGACTTGCCTTGCCTTGAAATAGGAACAGTGAACAGATTCCCTAAAAGGATTAAAGGTTTTGGTTTTCGTATTGGTATTGTTTTCCTGAAGCCATTGCAGTCTTGGTCTTTAAATAAAATGTTTGGAATGCACAGATGAAAATTCCAGTAGCAAGTTATTATCTTAGCTCTTTGTTTATCTAACATTTATTGTACCTAAAATAGATTGAGAGTCAAGGACCCAGTCACAATCTCACATATATGTAGTCTTAATGCTATCATATATACATATATACATATGTATATATATATATATATATATTTTAAAATCCTATAACTGCTCCCTTTTAGAAAGAGAAAGAGAGAGAGCAAGCATTTGATGATGTCACTTCAGACAGCTTTTCTCTTTCTTATGTAGCGGAGATTTGAAACTCAGGACAAACATCAAAATTAAATTTGCTGAGCACCTTTAAATCTGAGCACCTTTAAAATGACAATTTTTGTCATTTCTGAAATAGTGACTGATTTCAGATTCTCAAAATTTCTCACGAGTTCACCATATTTAAATTTTGTGGTCATTGCAGCTATAAATAATCATTGGTAGCTCTGTGAATCATTGGTAGCTCCGTGCTTTGTTTTCCATTTTTTATTTTCTCAGATCCCCCATATCCAAAGAAAAACACTACTAGGATTACACAGGGCCAGAGTCTTCTTTGTAAACCACCCAGCAGTCACAGATGAGTTGGTAGATACAAGATGACTAATTTTTTTTCCAGCTATAAGCTGAAAGACTTATTTAGTGGAAGACAAAATATTTCTGTACGCTAAAAGTAGAATCCTTATAATCCAGTCAGTTGCTTAACAGGTAAACGAAAACCTTAATGACAGACTTTAGTGAAAGAAGTTCTGATCTCTTCATTTCAGAGCTTGGACAGTGATTACATAATGTTGTCTGGCTCCTTGGGGGTGACTGTGTGGCAGCCACCTTGTCTGACTGCCTGGGCTGGGAACAGAATCAGCCTTAATGTGTTTTGCCGAGGGCATTTCCTTTGCCTGGGTGGTTGAAAGGATCAAACCAAGCTAGTTAATGGCCCAGAACTCCTGAACAAGAATTTATCTTATCTTTAACCCTCCTAAACCACAGTATCCCAGAGACCAGTGTTTTCCAAAATGTACTCTAAGGACCACCTGCTCTGGTATCGTCTGGAATTCTGATTTTAAAATGCAGATTCTACTACCTTATGCCACAAGAATTCTGATCACTCTAATCAACTGACTTATATAACATGCATTCCAGGACTTTTAAGTTGCTCCTGTCTTGCTATTTTTTTCCTCTGCAGGGTGAGAACTCTCCAGAAACAGTTCCATAACCCCATTTTTCAATCTTATTTTTTCAGTAGCTATTAATCCTAACAGCCATTTCTATTGATTGTTTTATCTTAACTAGCTTGCTGTTAATTAAGGGGAAAATGCAGGAAAAGAATAGTTTTCACCTCCCTCCTGTCCTGGTGGGCATATAGCTGTTAGAGCTATAGAGACAGCAAAGAGTGGGATGTATTTTTGGTAGCAGAAGTGAATTTGAAATTACATACATGTTTTATGCCATAGGCAACTATTCATTTATTTTTGTGTTGATACTTTGAACCTTAGGAAAGTGTTTGTTGTATATTTGCAAATATCAGAATACTTAATGTACTGTATCAAAAATCCCAGTTTTGTCCTTATATAACTGCTTGATCTTGGGCTTAAATTTTTAGTTTTTCTGTCTGTAAGATGAGATGCTAGGACCAGATGGCCTGTAAGGATTCTTCCAGTTTCAAAATTTTATGAAGATGCTAGGATTACGTAAGTCTATTTGGCAGAAATTAAACTGTTTTAACTGTGAAAAATAACAACTACTTCCTCACTCTAACCAGAGTATTTCCTTTCTTCCTTTCCATGTTTAACATGTTACATTCTTCTGTCATATCAAGTAGCAGTGGTTCAAAGAGAAAGGAGATGGGTAGAGATATTATGTAATAAAGCACATTGTCACTTCTGTTTACGTCACTGTAGAACAGTGAAGTTGTCAGCACCTCTTTGTTACAGTGCCTGCTTATGAAACCCCTTTCCCAGTATCAGGCCTCAGAATAGCTTAAGCTTGCCTCGTGTGTATGTTGTTTTGCTGACAAATAGTGTTGCTTTCTCTCTACCCCACTTTGTAGATGTTCTTTAAAAGGAGGGAGTAAAGTAAAGTGCTGATATAGGAGAGAAAATGGTTGCAGGATGAGAGCATGAGAGAAAATGAAGGCCGACTAACCCAGTAAGTTCTGCGTTACCCACGGCAAATGGCTATTTAGACCCTGGTTCTTAATACTTTCTTGTTTTCCCTATTTGCACAATCAGGACTAAAAGGTTTGATAATTAAGCTTTTGATTTGTGGTCACGGTTTTTGTTTTTGTGTTTTTTGGGGAGTGAGAAGGGACGTAAAATTCGAGGCTAGCCATTTTTACTGTAACGTTGATATAATGCTCTCAGGGGATCGAGAGCTTGGTTCTCTTTAACCAAAGTGCATCTTATTACATAGTTACGTAATTTCGTTTTTGCAAATATTGGCCAGTGAGACTTTCACAGTCATTACATTTTGGTTCTCCATAAGGGCATTAATATCTAAAGTGAGGGTTTAGTGCTGGGAAATAAATGAATTGCCTCTGTGCATCCCAGTGCCATGGCAGGACCTCCTGTGTACACATCCCTGACAGGAGACTGCTGTTGCATATTGAGTGTGCAAGGTTACATATTGTACAGTTGAAGGACAGTTTACCTGCCAGGATTGTAGTCTTCCCAACGAGACATAAATGAGTATAATTTAGTTGGCATAATAAGCCTGTAAGACCTCATGGAATTCAACTCTGACGTGTAAAAGGTTTATGTGAATGGAAGTATTTTTTAAGCAGAAATATCTCAAATACATTTATGGTACAGGCCTATTTAAATTAATTTAAAATTTGACTTACAAGATTTTTACTATGCATTACCAAAGCTTGACTTGCATGTAAATGTACATAGAAAAATTTACTAAGTTGTTGAGGGAGATTTTATTTCTCTTAGTTTTATCATACCATAACTTAAATGCCTGGAGCGTCTATTCAAAAGCCACATTCTTTTTCCAAAAGGAAACATTATTTTCTGAATTACTATTTTAACTAAAGGTTCTCAAACTGCATTGTGTATCATAGTATCAGTAAAGGAAGATCCAGAAAAAAAAAATTACATCTTTTTCGGTTACCTGTGAAGTCATCCTCTCAAATTTTTTGGCAAATGTGGCATTTTATTAGAGCTTAAAGACTAAAGGAAAATAAATTAAGGACTTTAGACCATGACTGTTGCAGGATTTGACAATTCTGAATTTCTGAATGAGGTTATTTTTGCTTAAATGTTATAGAAAATATTAACACTGGAGCTGTGCTTCACAATGAAAGTCTTTTACAAAGTAGACAGATGAAAGTAGAAAACTGGAAATTATAACCCTAAGGACATAATTTTTGAAAAACCTCCACTTAAATTGTGATTATCCCTTTTAATTAGTACTTACAATACATATTTTTAACAGTTTTAAGGAAATCTACAATACAACCTCATTTTATAAGTGTTACCAACAACTGAAAGAACAAGATTATTTGAAATTATTGAGCATTTTTTAAGCTGTTTTATTAGAGAAAAAAAGAACCTTTTGCAGTATTTCTATAATTG